CGTTGGATCTGCAGATTGCTTTTGGTCAAATGGCTATTTTTTACCAGGTTAATACTATTCTTTCATGATTGTGGGAGATCTTTCAATCTTCTGATACTTTCTTTAATTTCTTTCCTCAAAGACTTGACATGTTTATCATACAAGCCTTTCACTTTCTTGGTTAGAGTTACCCAAATTTATATAATATCATTTGAGTTCTTGTGAAGGGTGATGTGTCTCTGATTCCTTCCTCAGTTCTTCTGTCATTTGTGTATGGGAAGGATACTGAGATTTTTGAGTTAATCCTGTATCCAGCCACTTTATTGAAAGTGTTTCTCAACACTTTCCCTAGTAGAATATTTTGAGTCACTTATGGATGCTGTCATTTCACCTGCAAGTAAAGATACTTTGACTTTTTTCCATTTTGTATCTCCTTCGGTTGTCTTCTTGCTTTAGCTAAAACTTCAAATCCTATATTGAACAAAGAGGGAGAGAGTGGGCAACTTTGTCTTGTTCCCCACTTTAGTGGAATCACTTTGATTTTCTCTCCATTTAATTTGATGTTGGCTATAGGCTTTCTGTAAGTTTCCTTTGTTATGACTATGTATGTTTCACGGTTTCTCTAATCTCTCCAGGACTTTTATCAAGAAGGGTGGTTAAATTTTGTCAAAAGCTTTGGCAGCATCTAATGAGATGATCATGTGTTTTGTTTTCTTCCAGCTTATCTGTATAGTGGATTAAATTGGCTGATTTTTGTATGTTGAACCATCCCTCGGTTTCTGGATGAAACTTGCTTGATTGCAGTGGAAAATCTTTTTATATGTTCTTGGATTCAGCTTGAGAGTGTTTTATTGAGTAATTTTACATCTATATTCATGAGGGAAACTGATCTATAGTTCTCTTCCTTTGTTGAGTTGAGCACCAGGGTATGTGGACTCATAAAATGAATTGGCCAATATTTCATATCTTTCTGTTTGTTGATATTTGAGGAGTATTGGTGTTAAGACTTCTTTGAACATTGGGTAGAATTTTTGCTAAACCGATCTGGCCTGGAGATTTTTGCAGCAGAGGCTTTTATAATACCTGCTTCTCTTTATTTACAGTTTGTATTTTGTATGTCTTTATGATTCTCTGAATTTCCTCAGGGTCACTTGTTGTGTCTCTTTTTTGCTTTTGAATTCACTACTTTGCAAATCCACTCATTGTATTTAGATAGTTTGCACGAGGATTTGTCTATCTTTGTATTCTCAAAGGTTTTGGTTCATTGATTTTAGGTTCTCTTTGTTTTCATTTTATTGACTTCAACCCTGACAGTGATAATTTCTTGCCACCTCCTCCTTCTGCTTCGTTTTGTTCTAGAGCTTTCAGGGGTGCTGCTAAGCTGCTAGTGTGAGATCTGTGCTACTGTTTATGTAGGCACAGAGAGCCATGAAATTTTCCCTTAGGACCGCTTTTCTTGGGTAACATACGTTTGGATAGGTTGTACATCCCTTTTCCTTGAATTCTACATAGTCTGAATTTTCTTTTATTTCTATCTTGATTCATTTTTTTACTGAGTATGTAGCTTTTCAGTTTCCCTGACTTTGTAAGACTTTTGTTGTTTCAGGTCTTTGTGGGAGCAGCTGCACACTGTGCTCTGATAGGATGCAGGGAGGTATTTCCATTTTCTTGTATCTGGAGAGACTTGTGTTTTGTCCAAGTATATTGTCAGTTTTGGAAAAAGTCCCCTATGTGCTGAGAGGAAGTTATATTGTTTTTGTTAGGGTGGACTATTCTGTAAATATCTCTTAGAGTTATTTGGTTGATATTGCCTGTTTGCTCCATATTTCTCTATATAGTTTTTGTCTGGGTGATCTCTCCATTGTTGAGAGCCAAGTATCAAAGTCTCCCACTTTAGTGCATGTGTGATTTAAGCTGTAGTAGTGTCTCCTCTAACAAAGGTGGGTGCCCTTGTGTTTTGGGCATGGATGTTAAGAATTGAAATGCCATCTTGCTAGATTTTTTTACTTGATAAATATATAGTGTCCTTCACCATCTCTTTTGATTAATTTTGGCTTTGAAGTCCATTCTCTTAACTATTAAAATTACTATACCATCTTTCTTCTTATAGGCACTTGCTTGAAATATCTTTTCCCAACCCTTTTAACATGAGGCAATATCTATCCTTGATGTGGATGTGTGTTTCTTACCTGTACCAAAATAATTAGTCCTGTTACCATTTTTATTCTATTAATCTCAGATTTTTAAATTGGGGAATAGAAGGCATTCATACTGAGAGAAATCAATGAGAAATTATTGTTATTCCTGTTTTGTTGTTTTGTTGGTAGTGGTGGAGATTGTTCGTGTTTGTGTGTGTGTGTTTCCTTACTTTTGGTATTCCTAGTGTGAGATTTTTTATTCCCTGTGTTGTCATGTGTATAGTTGACCTTGTGGGTTACAATTACATTTTTTTCTAGTATTTTTGGAGGGCGGAATTTGTAGATAACATATGGCTTAAATTTGGCTTTGTCGTGGAAAATCTTAGTTTCTCCACCTATGGTGAGAGTAAGTTCTTTTGGGTATAGTACTCTGGGCCGGCATCTGTGGTCACCCATAGTCTGCAATGATCTTTCCAGGCCCTTCTAGCATTTAGAGTCTCCTTTGAGAAGTCATGTGTAATACTAATAGGATTGACGTTAAATGATACTTGGTCCTTTTCCTTTGCAGCTTTTAATATTCTTTATTCTGTATGTCTATTACTTTAATTATTATGTTGTGAGGGGACTTTCTTTTCTGGCAAAATCTATTTGGTGTTTTATATACTTCTTATACCATTTTTATACTCATCCTTCATGTTCTGAAATTTTTCTTGTATTATTTTGTTGAAAATACTTTCTAGAATTTGTGTTGGTATTCTTCTCATTGCTTCATTCCTAATATTTTTGGTTTGACCTTTCATAGTGTCCAGATTTCCCGGATATTTTGGGTCAGGAATTTCTTAGATTTAACATTTCCTTTGACAGATGTATCCATTTCTTCTATTGTGTCTTCAGTGCCTGAGATTCTCCCTTCCATCTCATGTAATCTGTAATCTACTACTGAAATAAGACGAAACTTGGCCTTCGTTCCTTTTCTAGTTTCTGAATTTGTCATTTCCAGGATTCCCTCAGTTTGTGTTTTCTGCATTGTTTCTGTTTTTATTTTCAGCTCTTGAATGATTATTTTTTGCTTTAATTGTTTGTCTTTTCCTGACTGATTTGAGGTATTTATTCATTTCCTCTTTAAGGACTTCTATCATCTTCATAATGCTGAGTTAATGGTCTTTTTCTTGTGCTTCAGCTAGGTTGGACTATCTGAGCTTACTGTAATAGGATAGCTGGGCTCTAGTAGAGACCTAATGCCACAGATATTATTGATTCTGTTCTTATTCTGGCACATAGGCATCTGGGTTTGGAGTGTTTATAGATCTAGGTCTGATTTCTTGGTTTTGCTTGGATGATTGGGTGCTTTGTTTCTTGGTTTCTCTTCTGTATTTTTTAAAGTGTGGTGGGTGGGTATTGTCTATTTTACTTGTGTGCTTGGCTGGTGTGTTCAAAGTTTTGGAAGGAGGTTTGGGGGATGCTTGCTGGTGTTAGAGGCTGAGGCAAGATGGTCTGAGGGATCCAGAGGAGGTGTGAACAGCAGTGGAGAGAAAACTGCAGCTAGTGTTCTGGTTCAGTGCTAAGGGAGAGCCCGAGAACTGCACAGAGTGTAACAAATGAACAGAGCACTATTTTTGGGCGCAGGGATTATAGGCCTGCACCACTGTGCCAGCTTCTGCCTTTCCTTTTGAATAAACCACAAAGACAATGGTGGCTCACCTTTCTCAGGGACTCCTTCTGCTTGTGTCCCTCTAGTCTTTCTTTTCTCCCTGTGGTCTAGAATGTGTTGCTGCACACTGTGAGGTATTTGAAAATCAGGGATGCAAGTTTTATTGGCCTGCATGACCTTTCTTGACCTCTCTACTAGGAAAGTAACTCCTGGAACAGATGCCAAGTAGTTTTAGCTGGGGAGGGTGAAGGGAGACCAGGAAGTGACAGGAAATACCAACTGCACAGTAGCAGTTCCTATTTCACAAGTTGTTTACATCAGCCATAACATGTACATTTAGTGATTTCTGTTTTGTCCTGTGCATGGAACCCAGGGCCTCATGCATGCTGTGCAGGTGAGCCCACTGGGGTTTGTCCACAGCCCTGCAGTGGTGGTGGTTTCAATGAGTGAGTTTGAGTATCTCTGCCATTTGAGGCAATAGTCGTGGCTGAATTTTTTCATGCTTTTATGTTCTCATTCAACAAATGTTTAGAGAGTGCCTGTCACTGTCAGGCTTGTTCTGGGTACTAATTATGGGATGGCAACATTAAGCAAGCATGAAGGAAGGAGGCAAGGCAGTCTGGAATGACATTGCAACTACTAGTTAAACTTGGAGTCACACAGATTCTGCTGCTTCAAGGTGGAATGGAGAATGAAAGAAGCTTAGTCTTCAGTCTCATCTGACAATTATCGGCGAATCAATCCCACACCAGTTACGTTTTAAGGGGTTATTTATTTTGGGGGGTAAAACTTACATACAACATAAACCGTCAGGAAGGGAGCCTAGTCGCTGGAGCAGGAGCCGGGACCAAGCTCCGGAACCAAGACAGCCTGATCCGGGATCTGTGGCTCTTTTTAAAAGAGAAATATACCACGCCCCAGTGGGCTGGTATTTCACTGGCTATTGGCTGACGGAGTGGAAGGCGCTCCCCGTTGCACTGTGGGCTCATGCTTCAGCGACTATTGACTGAGGCAGCGGAAGATACTCCCACAACAGACAATTTATTAAATGTCACTTTGGGTGAGTCTGTCTCTAGGACATATTTCATTTGTAGCGAGCAGATAGCCATGACATATGCTGTACTGACTGCTGTCTGAGCACAGGGATAGTACCTCGTGGTCCCCACTGCTCCTAATATCACTCTGCCCCATGAACCACTCAGTGCACCTCTGATGTTCCTACTCTGTTGCAGGTTGTGGGAGACTGAGAAGAACGGAGGATGATGTGGATCCCAGGTTCATGTGGGAGATGTTCTTCTCAGACCTCTGCCTTCAGTTTTCCAGCGCTCATGTAAGTCCATGATGCCTTTTGTGGTTGGTGATGAAGCCACTCCAGGTGCCTGTGTGTGAACACTTGGTTCCCAGCTGGTGGTTCTGTTTGGGAGGTTGTGGATCTTTTGAGAGATGGAATCTTGCTGAAGTCACTGGTACTGGGCTTTGTGATCTTATTGTCCCAGTGGTTGATCTCTGCCTCTATGTGTGTCCACACCCTCCCCTCTAATACCTGGGTGCAGATGCAGCATGTCCTGCCAACTCTCTCCTGCCATCATGCTACCATGCCTTTCCAGCCTGTTGCTGTCCTCTTTGTGGAGGACTCCATCCCTCTGGAACTGTAAGCTAAAACAAATCTCTTATCTAAGTTTTTTTGTATATATTATTATTACAACAGGAAATGAAACTAGACCACCTCCATAACATGTGATGTTTTTACTATCAGTCAGGATAATGTGGAGGCGGATGAAGTCCTGTGTGAATGTGTACTGTTGATGTGAGCATGGCTATGTGAAAGACCGTGGTGCTTCAGGACCATTGGAGTGCCAAGGCCTTCCTCAGGTCAGGCGCACCAGTATGGAAAGTCTTTCCCCTGATCAGAGTATTGATGTGGCACCAGGCTGATCTTTAACTGGGACCTATGTGTTCAGAAACTCCCAAGCCAAATGCCTCCTCCTGAATGACTGCAGCCTGAGACTGAGGCAGCTCTCCTACAGAGACACGCCTCGGAGATTGGCCAACACAGCTCCTCCTCCTTATAGGTGCTGTCTGTATCAAATGCTCTGTGTTTGCAGGCTGCTGCTGCATCTCCATCATAGTGCATGGTCTCTCATCTCACCTTTTCTGGATTTGTGTCTGTCATTTCTTTGCTCTCCTCTGTGCAAATGAGGTCAGTTTCTAAACTGGGTTGGTTTGGGTGGGATGGGCGAGGTTTGAGAAACCTGTACCATTTAGTCTCAGTGTCTTCAGAGCAATCCATTTCTTTTTTATTTGTTAATTATTTTTTTTCATTTATTTGATGCTGACCAGAGTTTACCCTCCTTCCTCTTGTTAGTTCCCTCCCCACCTCCCATCTACATCCTCATCCACTTCTCCTCAGTTCTTAAAGGGGCAGGCCTCCCATAGGTGTCAACAAAAAGCCACATACCAAATAGAGGCATGATCAAATTCTTCTCCTGCATCAAGGCTTGGTGTGACAACCAGCATGGAGAAGAGGCTCCCAAAAGCCAGTTTAAGGGCCAGAGCCAAGTCCTGATACAGACCAAGCTACATAAATGTCACAATCATGCCGAATTCCTAGGTCAGGCCCATGCAGGCTTCCTAGTTATCCATCCAGGGTCCATGAGCTCCCAGGAGCTAAGGTCAGCTGTCTCTGTAGGTTCCTCAACCATGACCTTGGCCCTCCTTGACTCAGACAATCCCTCTTCCTTCATTCAGCTGAACTCCTGAACTTGACCCAGTGCTTGGCTGTGCATCTCTGCATCTGCTTCCATCAGGTACTGGAAGAGGCTCTCTGATGACCATCAGGGTAGTCACCAATCTGATTACAGGGAAAGCCAGTTCACGCCTCCTGTCCACTATTGCTAGGAGTCTTAACTGGGGCCATCCTTATGGATTCTTGGGAGTTTCCCTGGTACCAGGTTTGTCCCTAACCATGAAATGCCTCCCCCATCGCATTAAGACATCTATTTCATTATTCTCATCCTCCACCCCACCTAAAGCCTGCCCAAACCAATCCCTCATGCTTTGCCCCACCCATCCCCCACCAGTCTACCCAGGAGATCTCTTATAATCCCCATTCCCAGGGAAGTCCCTGCCTCTCTTAAGACCTTCCTTGCCATCTAGTCTCTTTGGGACTGTGGATTGAAGCCATTGTTTTTATTTTACACCTAATATCCACTTAAGGTTGAGTACATATCAAATTTGTCTTTCTGGGTCTGAGTTATCTCCCTCAGAATGATTTGATCTTTTTTCATGTTTGCCTGCAAATTTCATGTGGTCCTTGTTGGTTTTTTTTGTTTGTTTTTGTTTTGTTTTGTTTTTGCTGAGTAGTAATCCATTGTGCAAAAGTACCACATTTTCTTTAACCATTATTCAGTTGAGGGGCATCTAGATTGTCACCAGGTCCTGGGTATTATGAATAATGCTGCTATTATGAATAATGCATAGTTGAGCAAGTATCATTATGAGATTATTGAACATCCATTGGGTATATGCCCAAGATGGGCATAGCTGGTTCTTGAGATAGATTTATTCCCAATATTCTGAAAAATCTGCCCTATTGATTTTCAAAGTTCCTGTACAGTTTGTATTTCCATCTTCAGTGGAGGAGTGTTTCCCTTTCTTCACATTTTCTCTAACATAATCTGTTGCTGTGGAATAATGCTCTTGTACACTGCCAATGATTATCACTCATACTGGTTTAATAAAATGCCTATTGTCCAGGCAGGGAGTAAAGGTGAGAAGAGGAAAGGCAAAAAGACACAGTCACCAGCAAGATACAGAGGAAACAAGATGAGAATGCCTTACTGAGAAAAAGTACTGAGACACATGGCTAAATATAGATAAGAATTATGGGTTAATTTAAGTTGTAAAAGTTAGTTAATAATAAGCCTGAACTAATAGAACAAACAGTCTATATTTAACATAAGCTTCTGCTTGTTTCTTTGAGTTTGAACAGTTTAGGATCAGGCAGAACAGAAACAAGCTGTCATTAATGTTTTTGTTCGGAGCCATTCTGTGAGGTATAAGATGGTATCTCAGTGTAGTTGGATGCTTCTGTAAATAACCTAAATAATTATTCAGAGACTTCATATTGCTTGTTAGTGCTCAGTTCATAGCTCAAGATTGTTACTAGCTAACTCTTACACTTAATTTAAGCCTTATTGCTTATGTATGTTTTGCCAGGTGGCTCATGACTTGTTACCTCATTTTTTACATCTTGCTTCCTCAGTGGCTGGTTGTTGTCTCACCTGACTTTGTCTTTTCTCTTCCCAGTGTCCTCTGTGTTTGGCTGTCCCACCTATATTTCCTGCCTAGCTATCAGCCTGTCAGCTTTTTATTTACAAATGAAAGTAATACATATTCATAGTATACAGAAGGATTATTCCACAGCATTTACCCCTTTTTTGTCTAATTAAAAAGAAAGGTTTTTTAGCATAGTATAATTATATATATAATATAGTATATATATTATAATATATATATATATCAAAACAATTCTTAAGAATTAGAGTTACAATATTCAGTCTATTTGTATTTGTCAAAATTACAGAAAATATATTATCATCTGCCTTATCTTTCTGAGTCCAATGTTTTCTATCTAATTTACCTTTCATCATCACTAAGGAATCATAGTCATAACTATCTCAGATTCACCTCCATCAAAGTCCCCAGAAGGCATTTCACTGCCTGGAAAGTCACTCAACGGTTCTCTGTAACATCAGGCATCCTACTTGATCCTACAAGCCTAGCACATGTGACAGACTTTCCTATGATGCAGAGAATTATGATGGACTGCACTACCTTGTCTTGGCAAAGTATGGCAGTCACCTCTCTTCTTTCCTGTTGGTCCAGTTTGTACAGTATATTGCTAACAATTAAGACAAGGTCAGTTTTTTGACTGATATGACTTGCTCTTACCATAAGAAAACAAACTCCATATCGAGTTTTTAAATGCCTAATATCTACTCTGAAGTAGATTGGTGCTGCCAGCAGCAGACATGTGTCTTACTATCTGAAAGGTCATAGGAAATAAACATATTAAAAGCCATATTTTGTAGTTCCTTGAAGTGTTTAAAGACCAGTTATTTAACTATATCTCTATATGACCTTGAAAACATGCCTAACATGAATATAAGTGTTCCTATTGCAATGACTATTGATCTTTATTTTTAAATATACATTACATTTTACATGAGGTGGTTAAACACAATATCCCGTAGATGAATAGAAATATACATACAGTATAAAAATTAACTTTAAATCAGTAAGCCAAAATTTATACCAATGTAAGACATTTATGATTAATAATTTTTATAGATTAAAGTAGATTCTATAGTCTGCTTATTTCCTATCTTTATGTGGCTTAAATATTTTTATGACTCTATTTCTTTTTTAAAAGACTTTATTATTTTAAAACTATATTTTCCAACTTAGACTGTATATATTATTTTTCTTCTCTCTCCCAAGCCATCACATACTGTTTTTAAAACACACTGTGACCTTTGTTTAAAGTCCTTTTATCCTATCATTTTTATACCCACCCTTTTCTTTTCAGAAAGAGTTCCTTCAATCTAATCTCCTTTGTTCTGCCTTTTTTTTTTTAACTTCACCAATAGCAACTTGCAGCCAATCCCCCTAAAGTGATAATAAATTTCCATAACCTATTTTTTGGGAATTTGCGCATAGTTACCTAGACTACTTCCTGTTGATTGGGGGCACTGGGAATCTTTGATGGAATCTTGAAAGAAATCAGGATAGCAGTTACATATTTGCTGTAGTATCCTGTGGGCCTGGATCATCAATCATCAACCTGGAAGCTCTTCTGATGCGGATCACCTGACCCATCATTTTGCTTGGTATCTGATAGCCTTGTTCCAAAATATAAAGATTTAAAGATAACACTCATATCTATATTAGATCAAGTGTAGATTGTGCATCATACACAAGTCAGTTAAAGATTTTATTTGTTATATGTTAAAGAGGTAAAACATACATCTCCTGTCTTATACCTCTTTTAGGTTTTTTTTAAATGTTTGTAGCCAGGATTTTCAGAGTTTCTTCCTTAATCAAACCTGATTTTCCTTAACTCCAAATAAATCCGTAACCTTTCATTTCCTCTGGAAACAAAAGCATAACTTCTCCCTCAAAGTAGCATATGTTTTTAGTTAAAATTTGATGTCAAGATGCTTTTTTTAATATATAGGTTAGATTATTTAAGCAATTTCCATAATCCAATATCTCTTAGCAGCCAAAAAATTCAAAAGCAACATAATAACATACATGACCCAGACTGTCCACTTCCCATCTTTACATGTTATGAAATGAAATAATTTTATTATTCTATTTTTTGGAAGGACTCTATTATTTTAAAACTATATATTTTCAATCTAAAACCATATAGATTATTTTACTTCTCTTTCCCAAGCCACCACATCCTTTTTAAACATGCTGTGACCCATTTAGAGGCTACTTTAGTCTGAATCTGTCCTTACTGTGTATCTTACTTTTTTGCCTGAATGAACAAAACCTTTTGTATATCTTAGATCATAGCATACTGGTGCTGACTCCCATTTTTGGTTTCCTGAGAGGCCGGTCTCCTCTGTGTCTGGGTGAAATGTTCTGTAGATGTCCATTGAGTCCATTTGAGTTAAAACATCTGTTAGTTCTCTTATTTCTCTATTAATTTTCTGTCTGGCAGACCTGTCCATTGGTG